TGCAATTCTCTATAATGTCATCCACCATTTTTTATCGATATTAAGTAAATGAAGGGACTGCATTTCATATTATAATTCCAAAATTGACTGAACTTGTTTTCTTTTAGCAATTACAGTTTCATTAAATATACCTGAAAAAATACCGCAATACTTTTAAAACCTTTCTTTATTTTGTTGACCTTACTGGTTTTTGTAAGTACACTACATTGAATATTAATGTAATAAACATTTTCAAACCATTATATTTAAACAAAATTAAGTTAGTTTTATTTCATAGCTCCTAGTGAATTTTGAAATTATTGTTTTTCATGACTAAATGAAAATAGTGTATTTCCTAATATATATATGTATTAGGTAATTATATATTAATTACCAAGTACATAATTAATATAGATTTCGTAAATAATACTCATTTAAAAATAAAATTTCCTTAGATATGCTTCACTAAATTATTTTAGACTTGAATTACAAATCCGTGTGAAGAACTAGTTAGTCTATGCTAAGTTGACTTTAATCTCCTAATGGTAAAGTAATTCATCCTCTTTTATGTACGATAGGAATCATGTTTTAAATTATTCATGTCATTTCTCAAAACTATTTGTAGATTACAAATTATTATAGAATCTAGAGACCTAACTAATGAAATATATGGGCAAAAACTAAACTAAGTATTAGCGCTTTGTAAAATCATTGATGTTTTTTCGAACGAGTTATCATTCCTCTGTACAGTAGGATTTTCCCTATGATTACACTCGAAACAATGGCTGAACCTCTTTCCTCCAATCGTCACTTTAAATTTTCTCCCACAATTCTGACATCTTCTCATCTCTGGTTCTGGAAATTAAATAAAGACAATAAAATGTTAAAAGAAAACAAAACTATTTTACACTGGATATTTTTGCACATATAAATAGCTATGCAAATATAAAAACGTATATAAACGATAGAAGTAAATAAATCAAAAGTACCCTAGCAAGAGATTTATCTACAGAATTAGGATCCATTCAAGATGGTGACATATCGTCTATCAGATTTAACCCTCAATCAGAAAACTTACAAGTAAAAAGAAATTAGAACCATAAAAATAAAACGACCGCAGATATGAAATCCAAAGTCCATAGCATTTCTCGACATGTGGTCAGCGCTAAAAATAAAAGTATGGTTTGCCTCTAATGAAGAAACATCTACTTTTTTAAAGCTCTCTGGTTATAGGGTTAATCGTTTTGTGGTATAATTAAAGTTACCTAAATTAAAGATGTATATCGATTTTATTGTAACAAGTTTGACAGTTTTCCATAATATTTCTAGAATATTAGTATTTGAAAAGATTATTATAAATATATGATTCGAAAGATTTTACTAAATTGACTATATTAGAAAGAAATTATGGAATGTTCTAGTTTATCAGAAATTCTCCAATGCTTAAGTAAACTGAAAATTTAAGATAGATATATATATATAATGAAAATATTGTGAATCGAGGAAAGTCCATGAATTTGGAAAAAAATCAAGAATTTTTACAAGATCAAGAATTATTTCAAATCTTAATTCATGTGCAAGACTTGCGAATAGAGATTAAATCTAATAGATGTATCTCATTTCTGCCTGTAGGTCCTACATCCACTGAGACATCTACAAGTATACATTTTACCTTTCCCACATTGTAGTTTGTATCTTATTTTTGTTTTCTGTCTTTTACGTGATCTTATTTTAGTTTGTTTTGTAGAACTTAATATCATTTCTCAAAATAATCCAAAGTAAGATAATTATGTTTGCTCATACGCTTTTTTCCTTTAGATGTTAGAAGTGACGTACTATTGCGTTATCTTTATGTATATATATCTATATACAATTGCAATTTTAGACAAATATTAAGTGTCTTTGAAAAAGTAAAATACGATAATTTATTCTGTGTTTTACTATTTGCCTAGGCATTTAGTAAAAGTTAAATAGCGTATAACGTAACCGAATATTATTTTGAACATCAGGCTAACAGTAATAACACAACCAAGTTATTAACGAATATAGACAGACTAGCGAACTCGTGGACCTATGGCCCACATTTACAGGGCTGCTGTAATGTAAATTTAACGCTTGAACTACTATTTTGTGCTTTTTCAGTTCAATGATCATTGCCGCTATATTGCAAATTTAATTTTTTTAACCAAGTTACGAACGGTAATTAGTAGACCTACTTATTTACATGCTCAAAAGTAAATCAATGTCAAATTTTGGGTCCGCTCTAGCGGAATCCCCGTAAAAGTGTTTTCACGAAATACCCGGATTCCTTAAATAGCGGGGCAGTTAATCAAAAAATTGGGCACTTTGAGTTAAAAGCGTGAAAGTTGGCTCATTTATACCTTAACACATACTGAGTATTTCTGGATATGGAACCCAGTCAGCAATGCCTCCTGGTGGCAATGAGAGTGACAATTGTCAATTTGAATTGCAATGTCTGAGACTTTGTACATATACTTCATATAAGGTGAAGTTATATCACTTGAAGAGACGAGAATGGATAGATTATAATTAAGCAGAGTGATTGAATGTCTTGAATAAGGTAGTTAAAGGTTCTAAGCACTTATAACCGCAGAATCATCGTTTTATTAATTGAAGTTTGATTAGTATATGTAGTAGTTTTGACTGTGTGAATCAATAAATATTCATCTTATGTAAAACAATTTTTAAATGTATCATAACAATTCATACTTACCTTTATTTGATTTTCTTCAGGATTTCCATGGGAAACAGACAACCCAGGCCTTTAACTACTGAAGGCAGACCTAACTAGTAGCTATGTCAAAACAATACAAGCTTGTAGATACTGTTTGGCCTAAGAACCTCAAGAGTGACTGTCGATCCTTTTGACTGGAAAAAGTGTATCCTTTCCGAGTCTGAAGCTCAAGGGCCCTTACAATGTCCTGCAAACTCCGAGAGAAAAGATATTGGAGCTGGATACAAATATGTTGCTGAAAATATCCAGTTCTATGGCCTTAATGTAATGCCTGTAAATATAGATATACAAGAACTGGATGCAGGCTCTGCAAGACACAAGTTATGTAGAAACAAAACTAGTAGTTTGAATCTTGGAAGGACATGTAAGAAGAAGTATGAAGAATCAAAGAAGGCAAGTACTGTAAAAACTAGAATATCCAAGCAGAAATCAAACAGAAAGAACAGATACATTTGTGTATTTTCTATGATGATGTATCTGGTTCTGTTGGCCGTCATGAGGCATCAATATTCGATATTGATTTCAAAGTACGAAAGTGTGCAACTGAACTCAATGACATAAAATTGTTGGCAAAACTTGCAGTTGGTTGACCTGGTGGTAATTAATGCCCAATACCACACAAAATGATTGGCTGAGCTACACAAACATGCACAACAGGTAGGCAGAGATACAGCACCTAGTTCAAGTGAAAGCTTTCTACTTTGCTGAGCTAGATTCACATATTGAAACATTTCAAGAATCAACCAAAGCAAAACCAGTATTCAGTATGGCAGATCTAAGGAACCTGTACTCCTCAAGATTACAGGAACTTGGTGTCCAGGCTGTACAGGTGCACACCACTAGACTAACGAATAGAATATTCGCAGCAATTCCAGACTTAAGAGCCCACAGTCAAGGCACAGAGGTCCTAGAAGCATTTGATCGAGACATTGGAACCGCACTCAAACAGGCCTGTAATCATTATTTTGATTCTGAGGCGTTAACACTAGCAAAAGAGCAAATATCATCTATGTAGATGTATTCACGCTGAAACAGATATTTGACAGAGATTTTCTGTCGAAGGGACCAGATATCAAAGAGCAATCTACTGAAGTGCATCCTCTGTCCCATGAATCTTAGACCATCTCACAACTCTTGGTGTTTAACACTGACTGTGAAGTCAAGAATTAGCTAAGGTACCTCTACAGCAAGTCATAGGCACAGCAGTGACAGGGAGACATCAGTACCAATCTATCTTGCCTTGGACTTGTTAATGCGCTCTATAACATGGAGATGTGCATCTCTTATATTCACTTGCTTGCCATTTCTATAGACATAGCCAACCAAGTGCGTGTCACTTATGAAGATGAAATGGTGATGTGCCCTTCAAAACTTTCGAAACATATCCTTACAACAGCTGATGTTCATAATACAGACATAACCCGAGCTCAACAACAGCATCAGATTCATTTCATGGTACTGACATTTCTTTGATGAAACACCCAACAGATGGGGCTCAAGGGACAGCACGTGATATCCCAATTATTTATGGAAGTGTTCAAAAGAGGAAATACGTTGCAGCAATGCCTGTATCATACATCATTGTGCCTCAAGCAGCTTTTACAAACAATGACCCTTTTGTGAGTGATACATTAGGACCTGCAAAATCAACATTGCTTACTTTAGCTAATGCACTGGTAAAGCATTATGAGTGGGTAGAGTATATGAGGCAGCTATTTGGAAAATCAGAGTTGAATAAAGACGATTTCCTCTCATCGGCAGCACACCATGCTTCTTTACAAATACCAGTGACAGGACTTAATACAACAGTTGTCCTCATGCCATTGTTTTTGAAAGTGCGCATTCTATTGCTATGATACAACATTCTGTGAATGTTGTCAAGGCTGCTGTTCAACACCTGAATCCAGGTCAGGTTCCGGTACTCGTAATGGACCAACTACTGTTTGCTATTGCTAAAACAATACAATGGAACTTTCCTGAAACACCTGGTGAGGACATATTCCTCATCATGTTTGGTGGACTGCATGTTGAAATGGTTGCATTCAAGATCTTGGGAGACTAGCTTTAAGGTAGTGATTGGATAACTGTCATCTGCTTTGCTGGTATCGTTACAAATGGACTAGCTGATTCCTTGATCAAAGCTACACACACCTCACTACGATCAGACATGCCCACCAAATCATAGCAGCTACCCTCTACATCCTTCAGCACCAATCCCATGATAGGTATAAAACAAATGTCCCAAACAGAGAGGAACCTTTGGATTTCACAGCATGAAGTGAGAAAATGTCAGCTGAACAACCCCAGTTTCAATATTGGTCACTGAATAAATACAGATATAATGTTATATGGCACAAAGTATTGCACATCTATAAGCTCCATTCTGTATCTGGGATCCCTAAATGTACAATTAGATTTGTCATTTATGTCGCTTTTGAATTTAATATCAACAATTGAATCTGCTTACAGCCATAGCGAGCATTACTGTGCATATTTCATTATCAAGCATAAAACTCATTTACTTTATAGTAGGAGTTAGTTTGAGGGTGGTTCCATATAAGGGTATGTTTAGGCTATATCATTGTTTAATGCTTTTAACTCAAAGGGCATGATTTGGGTCAAAATCCTGTGTTAACCATCCCACTAAAAGGGTTGGGTGAAAAGTTTTGCCTTTGTGCAAACCTCGGGCCGAGACGATTCGTATGGCACCATTTAGAAGTTGAGTACAGAAGTTTAGGCGAAGATATGTGACAAATGCAAAGAGACACTAAATCTTATTATATAGATATTGGCAGAAGCTATTATTAAATTGATAGTCACATCTGCTTTACTTTTTAAAATGTCAGATATTTCACCAAAATCAGTTAAAACTGTTTTGTAATAGTGTAGATTGCTTCACGTATTAAATCTATGTTTATTATTTTTTCTATAAATTGTATGCTAAATTATAATAGCTTTCGCAGCTTCATAAAAATAAAATAATGATTCAATGCTATTTTATTAGTTTCTAAATAGGAAGCAAAAAACTCTGCTACTAATAAAACTGAAGATATATCACTGTAGTTATAATTCTGTTTGATTTCGCAAGTCTACTAACATATCATGATCAAAGAGTCTCAACAAAGCATGTAATTTACATTATATTACCAAAAATATTCAGTCAATATCGAAATATGCAAGGTCGTTACTTCACAATAATTTCTAATAGGGTGTTGGTCCACCTCTGACACAAAACATAGCTCTGATTTTGTCACTCACACTTTTTTTTTCCAAATTTTTGTAGATATCAGGCGTGATACTGCACCATTTTTCCTTCAGAAGAAGTGCCAATTTAATAGTGGATTGGGGTCTGTCGGCTTTGTTATTTTTGTTCTCTAATAAGTTATTAACAGACACTATAGTATGGCAAGATACGTTGTCATTATGATAGACGTAACGGCCCTCACTGTTGTATTGTATCAAAGCTGGTAGTGTAGTGTTGTCCAAAAAGTTGATATAAGATGAAGCATTCATCTTTCCCTTCACTACAACCAAATGACCTCGTCCACAGTATCAAAAACAACTCCAAAAAGTTACGCTTCCTCCACCACTCCTCACTGTTGAAACAACACAGTCATAAGTATAGAGTTCGGCCGGATGATGCCAAATTCAGACATGTCCATTGGATGCAAACAACGTGATACGCGCCACTGATGAATAAACCAATGTCGGCGTTCCAGACACCACTTTGGTCGACGCTTGTATTCAGGCTTGTGAGCAGTAGCTCTTCCAAGAAATATTCAATCGAGCATTTCCCTTTGGACGCACTGTCCTTGATTCCAATGTGTTCATTGATTTTGTGGGTGATGCATTTACTAATTTACTTGCGGTTACTCTTTACCAGACAATTTAAGATTTTTCTGCCAAGATTTTTCAAAAATGTAGATTTTCTTAAGCTAATTCCAACTTAGACTATTCTGAGACTATTACACACAGCTGACTTGCGAAGGCCCCATACGAAGGAAATGAGACGACCACTCATATCCCTTACTTAGCAGCACCAAATAACTATTCCAGTTGAAGGTCAGTTAGCTCTTTACTTCGTGGCATCTTGAACTGTGATCCTATGCCTGTTGCTTACCTGTACAAAAGCACGTGTTTCTTCTCTGTGAGGGGAAAATACGCACATGTAGAGGCTGGGAAGGATGATTTCAAGTTTAGGTTTAAGATCCTAATATTTTTTATAATAAAGTGTACATACAGATTTCTATTTAGAAAATGCATACATATTTAACTTTAAATTCTGGAAACAATACCGTATGTAATAACAATCTACTGGCATATTTTTAGCGAAAAGAAAACTGAAAATATTAGTTTAGAAGAGTGAAACATTAATATATCTGAGTTATTTAATGCTGCAATCTGTTATGTGATTATATTCAAGGACATTTAAAATGCAAACTTCATATAAAGATCGCAGAAGATGGACTGATTACTACACCAATGCACGCCATAAAGGTATATTAAATATCCAATATGTGTGTCATTGGGGACGTTATTATTTATTTAACACAAAACTACACAGTTGGCTATTTGCGCTCTGTCCTGAACGAAAAATAAAACCAAGAATTTTAACGTTGTAGCTCCGTAAAATTACCGCTGACACACCAGGAGACTATCAGTCAGAAGGAAAGTATGTTTTCCACTACATATTTGGGTAAATTTCTATTTCGTTAATTGAAGAACAGTACGTCTTGACTTTTAAGAGAAGTACTTTATAATCGGGTTGTACAACCATTATGACGGCTGGAATGCCAACTTTACCTATTACTCTTGTGTGATCTGTGTTATTTGTAGCTTCTGTTTTTAAATTAATTTTTTTTCTCATTTTCTCTTCCGTATCATTTCGAGCAATCCTTCCCACAACTAGCTGAAGATATTGATGGACAGTTTGAAAAGTGAAATGATGTGGGCTTCAGTACACCTAGTTGCTATTAATTTTTGAGTTATGTTTCCTTTTTAGTTTGCATGTGAAAGTTATGAAAAAAAGTTGAAACCTAATAGACAACTGTGTGGGGTACCTTTTCTTTAAGATACATTTCGCTCTTTCCTTAATGAATTTTGTACCTTAGCTTTATTTTTTTGTCTTATTTCTATGCTCACTTTTACTTGTTTCATGGAATAATTAAACATTATCCAAGGTAAGTAAATATGTTTGTGTTATTCTCTCTTTCCTCTTGATGTTACAATTAACATAACTGTTGGGTTACATTCAAATTCGAATTCGATGACGAGAAACCGACTTTGAGACTAATAATGCTTGGAGACGGCTTGAATGAGTAATGACGAAAAACTTTAATATAAGTTTAACATAACAGCCAATGTACAACGTTTCGACAAGGTTTTGTCATCATCAGGTTGTACATTTGCTGTTATGTTAAACTTATATTAAACTTTTTCTTCATAAACCATTCAAACCGTCTCCAAGCGTCATTGTTGGGTTACATATCTATATATATATATACGCACACACACATTATGAGTATTGTACAACTTTCAGTTATCAAGTTCGCTTATTATAGGATGTGGTGGTAAACAAACTATCCCCCCCAAGAGGCTACAGTAAGCATACAGGCAAGCTTACAATTCTCCGCAGTGGACACAGCAGATAATCCAATATGGCTTTGCTATAACACAAACAATCAAATATATATATATATACATAATAAGTGTCAGCTAAAAATTAAAATTTTAAATTCAGGCTGTTACATAACGCTGACACAAAATAAGTTTGATTATGAAAGTGTAGATGGTAGGAAAATCATTCTTGAGCATTTTAGTCTGACACTTTACATTTTAATCTTATCAGACTAAAACGTTTCTTCCTTTCATTCCTATATCAGCAGTTTGTTTATTGCTGAACAGAAATGTGTAGATTGAGTAAATTACAGAACAGAAATATAAAACATATTTGCTACTTGAGCCTCTTACATTTTGACCAATCACTAACGTTTTGCTAGTGATTTCTTCAAATAGAGGTTTCTTGATATAGTTTTTGCAGTTCACATGTATTTTTGCTATAAGATTTATTAAAGCTTTTATGTTGGAGTAATTTAGATAATGATATATTAAAGCTTTTATGTTGGATTACTTTAAATAATGATTTATAAGTTCTGCACGATCTCAGTAACAGACGTGAAATAGCTTTTTAGGATTTACGTTTAAATCAAGGATAAGTTAACACGTCAGTAAGTGTTTACCGATATGAAACTCTTTAAAAAGTTATGTTCATATTGTTTTTTTAATTTATTCCTTACAAGACTGTTTTACTACCGTCTTTCACAAAGATGTTCGATTATTGTTGTTTTTTGTAATAGAAAAGTAATATCTAAAGCAAACTAAATTACTTGAAATGTGTATATATAGATATATTTCACTAGATACAGCTTAATCAATCTATTATTAAAGGAGACACTCACCTCTATGTAGGTTTAAGTGGTTCTTCATATTTGTCTGCTTGCTGAACCCTCGACCGCATACATTACATTTGAAAGGCCAAGAACCATTATGAATATACATATGACTCTTTAAGTCCCCTGGTGTAGGGAAGGACTTGTCACACTCTGTGCATTTATGTGGTTTTTCCTGTTTCAGAATAAATGGGTTTGATTAAACTTTCATTCAGATCTTTATTCTTTTATTTGGTTTGTATTACCTATCATTTATCCAATAAAAGAAATGAAGGTATTACATCGCAAAGGCTGTTTCATAAAAACTTGTAAAACGTTTTTTTTCTGCAATTATATATTGTTAAGTCAAAAACGTTTCTATTATATTAAAGTTACTACGCAAATCTGACTTCTTCTGAAAAAAAATATATAAACTTCGTATATATAGTAATATTATATATATTATATTCACCTCCTTAATCAATGAAAAATATTAACTGATATTTTCCGCTGAAGATCGAAATGTGCATGTGAAGATGTACTAAAATCTTTTAATTCAGATCCTAATCTGAAACACCTAGTTACGTTCTAAAAAAATACTTTTTTTCAGTAATCACTGCTTAAAATTTACTTCAACAACTACAAGTTTCATTCATTCTGATATTTTCTCTTTTCCGAAAGGCTCCAAAAATACAAAATAAACTTCCACTAATTAAAGGATAACTAATTTGACGTCTTTGTTCATTTTACAAGGAGAAAAAAAGTGAGTTTACAAAGAGAAAACGTTTTTAAAATCATTCCCGCAAGTAGAAATAACGTTCGTTCAAAATAGTTCAAAGTTTGTTTAAAAAAAAAAGGTACAGGCACAATTTTAAAGAGAAATATGCATCACACTGCTAGTTTAATTATAAAAGCATTGTACTTGTGGTAATGTCTTCCCATCGTGTATATTTTATTTACTGAAATGTATTTATATAGAAATAAATAGTGATTAATCTATAAGGCAGGTAAGTGACGGATTTATATTAAACATGTTTAAAAGTTTAATAAAATATCCTTCAGGTAATATGGTAATATCACACAATTAATATAATATTTGTTAGAACCTAACATAAGCTTTTTTGCGAATAAAGATAATGTATGTCAATTTGAACATATCAAAGAATTATGAAACAATATTATGAGCAAAACGTGTTTACACAAACATTTGAAACGTTTACACATAACAGCAGAGTAAAATCGTATCTATTCACATTATTTTTAATATAGCTGCTGTGATATATCAATTGAAGATACTTCACAAGAACCACACTGTACATATAAATATATAGATATAAAGTATGAAGTTTTCTATTTTCTCATTAGTATTTATTATTATTTTAATAAAAACATATTTCTGCATAGTTCTGTTATTCCTAACATAACTGTCCTATTTAATCTAACGCTATTTTCACTGACCTATCAACAAAGCATTACCTTACTGTGTGTCATCCGATGATAGTAAAGGTTGGAACTGGCTGTGAATCTTTTTCCGCATACTAAACATTGATGTGGCCTTTCTCCAGAGTGAATTCGTCGATGTGTGTTCAAAGAACTTGATGTACTAAATCCTTTCCCACAAACGTCGCATATATGTGGTTTTTCTCCTAGGAAAGCCATTAATTTTTTTATGAATTGTGTTTTTACATTCTTCACAATTTCATAACACATTAAAGCATACATATATATATCTAAAATCTCTCACAGAATAACATTCCCGGATACAAGTGTTACTGATAGTAACTTTAAGCTAATTTTTATGACAACAACATTTACCTTTATAGCCACTAGTCAATTTATTCTATTGTTAAAAGTAATGAACCAAGTTGAAGAGTGATTTCTAATACTTTAAAATAGGTCAACAATGTTTTTTTTTAACACCACTTAAAGACTTTTACCATTTGCAACATTACTGGAAGTTGGATTGTTTGTTTAAGGTGGAATATAAGAAAACGTATCCCAATTTGCACAACTCCAAAATTGAATAAGTTTAATATATTAAAATAAATTAATGTGTTTCAATAAATTCTATTTTTAAGTGCGGCGATTACATAGCTTATTTTAGGTCAACTTTTATTTCCCTTGTTTCATAATCTGAGAGTTTTAAAGGTTAACTCCATATATAAAACTAATATTACTAATACTGTCAGAAAGTATAAAACGACTACATTAAATAACAGATAAAAGTTGTGGTAATAGCTCATTTTTAAGCCATACGTCTGTTGTATGTTATGAATTACGCACAGTTTCCTTCACAGTGTTTGGTTAATGTGGACACAACTGTTAAAATATTAAGTAAAAATATTTTCACTTGATTGCAGTCTGATTGAATGTGAGGATATGGGTACTTTTGAGTTCTGATGTCCGCAAGCTTATATTGTAAATAGAAAATGAAAGGAGTCAAATTTAAAGTTGTTCACTTTGTCTACCAGAAGCTTTAGATTAAAACAAAACGTTACTTCCAAAGAATAACAAAATTCCAGTACCTGAGATTGAACCAATGCATGGTTCATGTTTAAATTGCCTGGAAACGTGTACTCGTGCACATCTTGTTTCTACTTGAGAAACATACTCAAGTTGTTTATTACTTTACATTGCTATTGCCATTATTCTCAAAAATTAGGCCGGGCGTAGACTAGCGGTTACAGTGTCTGGCTCTGGATTGAATAATCCGGCTTTCGAGAAGTGATGCCGCTGAATATTCTCTGCACTTTTAGCTGTGAGCGTGTTATGTTAGTGACAGCGAACTTCGTTATTCGGTTCAAACATCCATACAAAGCTCGTGTGGTGGTGTGTGCTTTTGGTTAGCTGCCTTCCTTCTGGTCTGTAGTTCAGAATTGGGGATGATTATACCTGCATTACAGAAGTATTTGGCCTGTCTGTTTAGCCCACGTAGGCATAAGGTGTCTTTAAAGTTCATAAATTATAATTCCAGTTAAAAAGAAAACATTCGTTCTGTAGTATATTTAAGGAACTCCAGGTGAGAGAAGTATATATGTTGCTAGAGTTATATTCGTGGCGACCCACTTTTTACGTTAGATTGATTTGGCGCCACGCCATTCATCATAAGCAACCCTGCTAGAATGAAACTCAATATCTTAATCAAACTTTATTTAAAGAAATAAATTTGACCCATTTAAACGGTGGCTCAATAAGGTAAATATCCTTCTATAATGTCAAGAGAAAAGTGTTGAAACAATATTGTCTTATTAGGAGGTTTGAGAATCGAAAGATAGCAACATTGCATTCTACCCTCTGAGGATAAAGTGAATACTTTTGAATATCATTTTTGCATCAATTACCATACCTGTATGTGTTCGGACGTGACGCCTAAGAAGAGAAGGTCTGTCAAACATTTTTCCACAATATTCACAAGGCAATAATACCTTTTCTCTGGCTTTTTATCCAATTTAACTTCAGTCTGACACTGAAAAAAAAAAGATACTTTTTTCAGTTTTATGCACATTTAAAATGTTTTTCGAACGAAACTGCTTATATCACAGAGCCATCTAGAACTGACTACAGTCTAACGTTTCAATTTGGGGAACAGACAGAGAGGCTTATGTGTTTAGATAGGTTTCGTAGTCAAAATATTTCTCAAAAAATAACGAGTGAAGTTGAAAACGGAAAAACAGTCTGAAAATGTATTCATAAATATATTTCCAAAGATACAAAAACTCTAATTAAGTAACATGTAGTCATTAATTATTCAACTTAATCTGAAATTTTTCTTTGCAGTTACGAAAATTAACTTGCTTTAGTATGCTTTTGTACTTATATTAAATCTATCCTATATATAGTTTTAGTAAATACAGTGCACAAAGTGATCCTAATTTCTTTAAAATTTATAGTGAAAAATAAGGGAAAAGAAACCTATAGAAAGCATTGTTTTAAAGATTTCCAAACATTACATTCAATTGGTGTAAAAGTGTTATATTAAATTAGGCAATGGATAAATATCTCACAAATGGAAAAGTCATCTTACGTTTTGAGATGAGTTTGGGTTAGGAGTAAACGGTGATGTCTGTAAGCTTGACGTTGAGAGGCATGACATTCTGCTGTCATTTTCTAGGTCTGACAACGACAAAGGCCACATATTTTTGTTCTCATTTTCCGCTCCACTAGTGGGAGTAAAAGATGAAGGTGACGTCACCAAAGACATAGAAAGATCAAGAGGGCTATCTGTGGGTAAGAATATTATTATATTTAATCAAGAAAAATAGCACTGTTATATTAAATGGAAAAATGAATGTGAAGTTAATATAAACTTTGTAATACTTCATTACTCACTTATCTTAGCAAATAAATCATTCAGTAAAAACGAATACACTCGTGATATCCATTTCCTGAGGGACGAAGTTTGGAATGCCTCATATGTTTGTTTGTTAAAATTTGTGTAAAGGCACACGAGAGCTATCTGCGCTAGCCGTCCTTAATTTTGAAATAATTACCATCTTCTGTCATATCGAATGCTCGAATTTGACCACCACACTCATCACGCATCCAATCCCACAAATCTACACTCTGTCACACTAACCACTTGCTAACACACTAACCTTAAAACTTCTCTTACCTGCATACAATTGCTTTACAGTATAATAAACCATTATACCAAGAGACGTTTTCATTTATGCTCGCCCCCAGTGGCAGAGCGGTATGTCTGCGGACATACAACGCTAGAAACTGGGTTTCGATACCCATGGTGGGCAAAGCACAGATAGCCCATTGTGTAGCTTTGTGCATAACTTTAAATAAACAAACCTTTATGCTCGTGTGATGCACCAATTTACAAGGACATGAAAATACAAAAATACTTGAATGTCATCATTCTAACTATATCACTAATTATTGGGTGTCCGATAACTGAAAGATATAAATGTTTAAGCTAATACATTTTTTTCTGCAGAAAGTGTATTTAATTTCAATTACGGCTATTATCAAAATTGTAAAAATTATCTTGCGATTTTACGTATTTTTTTATATACATTTTAAAAAGATTCGATTCCCCGTGGTGGATAAAGCACCAATAGTGTATTCTGTAGCTGTGTACTAAAAAATAAATAAAGATGTGAATCAGCTTTTCCAAATACCCAAGTTGCACTGAATTATGAAAATAGGCTATTACAAGCGAATGGTTTGTTTAATTGTTTGTTTTGAATTTCGCGCAAAGCTACACGAGGGCTATCTGCGCTAGCCGTCCCTAATTTAGCAGTGTAAGACTAGAGGGAAGGCAGCTAGTCATCACCACCAACCACCAACTCTTGGGCTACTCTTTTTACCAACGAATAGTGGGATTGACCGTCACATTATAATGCCCCCACTGAAAGGGCGAGCATGTTTGGTGGGACTGGGATTCGAACCCGCGACCCTCAGATTGCGAGTCGAGTACCCTAACAATCGAATGGAGATAGCCTATTGCGTTAAAACAACAACACTGAAATGAAAACGCGGAAATATTATCAGTACTTTATAAACAACCTATTGTCAAATACAACTCCAGTCTTCTAGATATACCAGTAATCATCAGTATTTATTTATATGCTGAGATTCCATCTTGCAAATAAATATAGATCAATACTTTATTTTATGGAGTTTTACTGGCCAGAGAACATTTGTACTTGTATTAATGGCAAGGCTACTAAGGCTATTACCGCCGTCCTCATTTTCGAATTGGAGTTCTACTACAAGGTTAACCATGAACAGAGAAAGGCTCAATGAAACTGTTCTTGCATATTGAGTTTTCCAGTGATGTAATCGGTAGTTCATCTTCTCAGTTTTTTTGCGACCTAAACTACTACAAGGTTAACCATGACCAGAGAAAGTATCAATGAAACTGTTCTTGCATGTTGAGTTTTCTAGTGATATAATCGGTAGTTCATCTTCTCAGTTTCTTTGTGACCTAAACTACTACAAGGTTAACCATGACCAGAGAAAGGATCAAAGAAACTGTTCTTGCATATTGAGTTTTTCAGTGATGTAATTGGTAGTTCATCTTCTCAGTTTCTTTGTGACCTAAACTACTACAAGGTTAACCATGGCCAGAGAAAGGATCAATGAAACTGTTCTTGCATGTTGAGTTTTCCAGTGATATAATCGGGAGTTCATCTTCTCAGTTTCTTTGCGACCTAAACTACGTAGCATTTTCGTTAAACTAACAGAAGTCCATTTTTATGACACAAACATTTACACTTTTGCGAAAACTTATGATTGTACAAAGTACAAGGGTATTTATTTTAGTTTTTGATTAAAAATTAAAACAGCTTGAAAACGTCTAGTCTCCTATTAAAAATAAAGAAAACGTAACTGAAAATCGTTTGTGCAATTCTTTCCTAGCTCTGCCCACTGATCAGTTCTCAAGCAGGAAACAAACACCAAACGATTTTCATTTCCTGCTTAAAGATTAAAGATTAAGGACAAAACTACACAAAGGACTATTTGCGCTCTGCCCACCACGGGTATCGAAACCCGGTTTCTAGCGTTGTAAGTCCGCAGATATACCGCTGTGCGACTGGGGAGCACCCTGCTTAAAGATCGTAAATGGAAAAATTATCGGTTTGTTTTTATTTTATTTCTCTCATAAAGACTGCTTTTACATTGTTTTGGGATTATTAAGGTGAAAAAGAGTATCCCTATCGACTTTGTTTTAGTATGTACCTTCAATTGCTTGTTGACATTGACTGGTTTTTGAGTGATTAACGTTGGGAGTAGATGCCAAAGGTGATGAGTTATCTACTATATGAGGTTCATAGTAAACTATCAGTTCTTTGTTGGAAGGAATTAATTTGATACATTCGTAGATAACTCGACTTCCTGATGTCCTTCCTATTAGGTTAACATCTTTCGTAATTGTTGAAGATACTTGCAGAAAACGAATCCAGTTACAGTGACGAACTTTTCGGCCATCTACTTCTTGAATATCATCATAACAACCGTATCGATGACGTATCTGCAAGGAAGAATAATAATGATAGTTTTACAGAAAAGGGTAAATAGAATATGCATATATATTGCACTAATAATACTATGTTTCTTATAATATAATCATAGAATAGATTGTGAAATTTTTAAAACAAATGTATTATTTTGTTATTTTTAAATAAAAAGAGGTGAACCCGGAGAGAGTTTCCAGGTCATTTGTATACATTGCTTTAAAAAATGTTAGCATTATAACAATTATAGCATAGTAAAATAAAATGATATTGAAGTTTCATGAAAACTATCTTTTTAACTTTTCTTTCAGAAATTCAAATATATTGTGCAAAATTAATATTTTCTCTATAAAACTCTGTAAAAGAGTCGTTCTAAAAATAGACGAATTAAAAGCAAAATGATTTCATTCTACTGTTATAACTAATATGATATACAAAGTCCTAAAAGTCTAAAACCGATTCACTTTTTATTCCAAAAATGGAGAGACTTGCTTGTCATAGCTTTGGATACCACTTAACCTCGTTGTTGTTGTTATTCTGTTCTTGGAGTAGTAAAGTTAAGGACATTAAATGAGTATAATAAGAACTGTAAACACATGTTGATTTTATTACCAAAAACCATTGCAACAAGGTATCTTCAGTAATCGGAACGTTCTCAAATAAATTCCTTGTGAATCCCATAATCCACCATTGCACTGAGTCTATAATGTTCAGCACTTGCTAAAAATGTTTCGTCATAATCAATTTGTCGTCATGAAGTAATAGACTCATGAGTCTTCAAAGAAGAATGGTTATCGGATGCAGGATACGAGTTCCAGAAATATTTCAGTCCACATAATTGATAAAGCTGCAGTACCTACGTTAATGGAGTTTCGTGGAAAGGATCTTACTTCTTCTAGTATAATATTACACCAGGCCACACTGTACGCTATGTTTAGGGATGGTTTGCAACAAATAACATTCAGAACCTTTCTCGACCAAGTCAAAGCTCCGACTGGAATCCAACTGACCAGTCTTGGGCGTTTTACAATAATAACTGAAGAAATGAAAGAAACACTCTCTAAATTCATACTACACTTGAAACCAGTGATAATAACATAGTCCAAGCTGTGACTAATAGTTGTTTTCTATTAAACTGTTGACCTCAGTGGAGAATAATAGCATCTTCTTCTCAAGGAGTTCTATCTCAATACTTTTAGTTATATTCTATATATATATATGTGTGTGTGTGTGTGTGTGTGTTTTGTTGAATATTCATAGTCATATGCTTGTGTACTCTTTTTACCAAGTTTTTTTCCGTAAAGCATTCCTGTGATACTTTCAATCAAGCTAACAATAAAGACAGATATCAATGTGTTCCCTTCCCCCTCTAGAAAAGTCTTACTGTTCCTTAATAAGTTTTCTAGTATATAGAATTAAATATCATAAAAACGACGTTAAGTACAAATTCGGGACAATGTATATGACACAGTTTGATGCTGAGATGTAAGATATATGTGGTTAGGTTCGTATTATTTTCGCTTGTAAATTAATTCAATTAATTATTTTGTTATACTTCTTGACGAAATAAGCTATGATTGTCGTCACTTCATATCCATAGTTTGTTTTCTAAATCCAAGCTAAACAACTACGTTCCCTCCATTGCGAGAAATCGAACCCCTGATTTTAGCGTTGTATGTTCTTCAACTTACCGCTGTGGTTCAAATGTAATAAAAACATGGCTGGATTTATGGCTGCGTTGTATTGACCTATTTTGTACATACAGCTGTATGTTACAAGTAACACAAAATACAAAAACGAAATTACTGTCATTTACAGATTACTGTTTTGTTCGTACCTAATAATGCGTCAATTAAAAACAAAAGTAATGTAAATTTACAGACTTACGTTGATTTCTGTTAGTTGTCGCATAATTTTCGCATGCAGCACGAGGTTAAATTATTAATGTCAATAATAGTAGAAAGTTTTTATGCACAGAATAACCATGTCGTTTTACAAAACGTACAAAAACCTTACGAATTTAGTGAATGCAAAAGTCGAGCATAAACCGCTCGAACACTTTAAAATGTATTCCTCAATATATATGAATCACATTCATTATTATTTTTATTTTACAAGTAGCAAAGATTTTGCAGTTATTATTCGATCCAAGTAGTTTTTCCATACAGTTCACACTGCTCGAAAAGTGTATAGAAATGGTTCTTCTTTTCAAAACATATAAATATCTAAGAAAGTTGGTATTGATTTGGCTGATAAAATAATAATATTAAAAGATTACATAATAAAACCTTGCTGCTCGTATTAATTTGAAATAGATTGATCGTAAAACTTATGTTGATACGCAAATAATCCAACAGAACCACATATTCCCAGTTCAAGTGATTTATTGACTTTGCGCTAAATTTCAATTCCCATGTAATAACGAGTTAGACCGTCTCTTGCAACGCTAATGGAATGACTACAGCTTAGACTCCAGGATATATTGGAAGTTATAATGTCGAATAGTAACTCTATTTTATAGAACGATGGCTAACATTTGGTTCTCATATGCCGACAGAGGATTTCGATGCCTAACGTAAAGGACTATTTCATTCTTCCTTTGCTCACCAGGGTAGAAATAACCTTGTGGGATGGAGATTATGTACAAAGTTTACGTAAATGTGGATTTTATTGACACTACCAAAGGAATCAAAGGATCCAGCTCCGGTTAGAATATTTCCCAAACCATTACTTCACCTCTAGCAACCTTATCTGTCGATACAATATAAAGAGTGTCGAATCGCACCTATTCAGGTCACATGCTTTCAGACAATTACTGTCAACAGTTTAAGCTTTGAACATCTCAAAAGCTGATCTTTCCTGTTTGGAAAGGAGATAAGCGGTTTTGGACTCATTGTCAGCTACTATATGCCAGTTCCTCATTAGCGTTGAAGAAAATACTCGATTGGAAAAGCGTTCAATGGGTATTGCACTTTACCAACATGCCCATTTTTCCTTTCACTCGATTTGTCACCAGTAGCTGGACGCCACAATATTTTGTTAGTATTTTATTTTGAACTTTGCCCCAAGATATTCAAGGGCTAACCGTCCCTAATTTTGCAGTGATAGACTGGAGGGACAACAGCTAGTCAACACTACCTAGTGCTACCGTTTGGGTTACTCTTTTACTAAAGAATAGCGTGATTGGATGTCACATTATAACCCCCCCCCCCCCCCAAGGCTGAATGGATGGGTATTTAGGTGATGGGGATTAGAACCCGCGACTCGCTGATATATTTATTTTATATTGTTAATGATGATAGACAAGGGTGGCAAATGTCTTTGAACAGCTGATCAAAGAAATGGCCCTTGATAACTTTGCTCCCACTGGATGGAAATATAATTATACCCCCTTTACAAATGTGAGAAATCATTTTTCTTGAATACTTGATGTGATATAACTACAGAGGCTTGAGTATGTTAAATTAAAATGATTTTTGATATGAAAATCATCACGTTACGTGACAAACGAAACAGTTACAAAATCGCGGTGGTACAGAATGTATCAGAACTACATTTTGACATTGTTTATCGAAAATTGATTGCTTTTGAAAAGAGTATGTAACATCCCTTTCCTACGCAAAATGATCATACATTTAAACCATAAAGATGTCTTAATGCATGAGAAAGACGGAGTTCGATCACATGGGAATCAGTAGGCACTGCTTATAGCGACTTAAGGGGCAATGTTTTCTTATGGAATAGAATGCATATCCATTTTATTCTGAGGTATGCGACATTGAAATGATACCTTGTGGAAGCAACTTATGATCACACAATATTTCGTCACTTTTCTAGATAGATTTGTTTGAAGTTAAGCACAAGGCTACACAATGGGCTATCTGGGCTCTGCCCTCCACGAGTATCGAAACCCGGTTTCTAGCGTTGTAAGTCTGCAGACATACCGCTGTGCCACTGGGGGGCTTCTAGATAGATATTCTTCTTAATTGAATATGTAGGATACTATTGCTTGATGTACGTGAACGACTTTTGTCCTGACTTTTGTGCTAGTTGCTTCTCAACTGTTATTAGTCGCCGCACTTTGATTACCACCGCTTAGATACGACTTGTTGCAGATCTTTCTGCATGGTTCTGGGGCAAAATATACCCAGTTTTGGAGATTCTAAATCACCGATCTTAAATGGATTATTGAATGTAATCAGATAGTAATGGGGTTATTTTGCATTGATAACCTTACAAGGGAGCCTTTTGCAACGGATACTACGCTACAAGGCTGCTTTCAAGATGCTCTGTCGTCTGATAGAGCATGACCGGACATTTGTATTTATAAATATTTGATAAACATCTGAAACATCATAATGTGTGTCCCGGCCAGCCTGACGAGCTCTGTATTGAGTGAAACGTTTCGTTGTCAATGGATATGGTGGACAAAGAACGGATGATATACTATTTTATCTGCTCTTTTTTTTTTCTTAAAAAGCATTAAGAGACTGAATATAGAATGTAGTTTTAAAAATATAATAAGCCTAAAACTAGTGTCTTATGACAGTTATAATTAATTAAACCATACAGTACTTCAAATTGAAGATTTTAAAATGCCTAAGTATTTCTCAATATCTTAAAATTGTACTGGAAAATTAAATATTCCTATTTTACGTATTATACATTATTGGACAAAGTAATATTGAAAACAAAAAGTAAAGAGTTAATAAAATATTACATCAACTGTATAGTGTATATAAGTGACATATAGTATAATAGGTGATAGGAAGCGAAATGATATTTCCATGCTTCGTGTATTTCAGGCAATAATGTTATTTTTAAATAAACAATGTAATCTCTATAAAATACCGTTTTTGAAATATTTTAAAAATTAATAGTCATCATTTATTTAGCCTTTGCCTATTATCTTCATCACTATGATCCGTATTTCTACGAATGATATCACCACTTTAAGAGATGTAAGATACTTAAAAAGTGTGTTTTTACTACTTTACCAACATCTTTTTTAACGAGCTATAAATACTTAATTTAGTTGTAATGATATTTACATATTTTAGAAAGGGTGACTTTTTTCCCTTGAATCTTTAATTAGCTAACACAAATACTACATTATCATAATTATTACTGTCATTTTTGCTAGACGTTAAACTAAAGATTAAGGAAAATCTAGAACGGCTTGTTAATAATATTCGACACTTCGTATATTTCAGCCACTCAGCTAAAGCCGTATAGAAAGTAAGTAAACTTGTAATATCAGCAGGCGTTTTCAGTTTTACTGGCACTGATAGAGCTGTTTTCAACCTGAATGAAGCGTTATACGTACATGGGCTAATCGGCCAGGATAGAGATCCCTATGTTTCAGGTATAATCTTTCTTAATTGTAAACTACTGGGCAGAGTGAAGGCAGCCAGTCAGTAGCATCCACGCTGCAAAAGCTTTTTCAGACTTTGAACCGAATAATGGGGTTGGCTATCGAACTGAATAATGCGGTTGGCTGTCACTCTTGTAACGCAATCGCAGCCGAAAGTGTGCAGAGCGTGTTCAACAGCATCGTGGCGTTAGCCTTGGACCTTCAAGCATGCAGTGTACGCTAACGTCTAGGGTACATCCAACCCAATAAACACTGATTTATTTATAGAAAATATTATCGAACATAAATTACTTAAAACTTTTTTTTTTACTTCTTTACAAATTTACATTTATTCTATTTGGAATAATTCATTTTTTGGTTTCTCCATTGACATGAATCATTATCATTACTAAAGAAGAAATATTCGTAATGCATTTAGTATAATGTTTAACCTTTATTAACTTAATTTCAATTTTTCATATACATTCAAGTTTATTGCAATGTTATTACTGTTATAAACATTAATTAA